TATTAAATGGTTATTCTTTTTATTATTTTATAAATAAATATTTTTTTCAAAGTTGGATATTTAAGTTAAAATGTAAAAAACCTATTTTGCAAGTACATCAAACTCTTGCTACTTGGTTAATTATTGAATGTTTTAAGCGTGATATATAGAACGCTTACAACAGTTGTGTTGCAAATTTAATAATTAAGTGTAGTACAAAATAATCATGTTCAGCTGTGTCCGACTTATCGAGTTTACCTATGTAATAAAATTAATTTTAAACCCCCATAACTTTTTATTTTACTAATTAACTTTAAAAAATCACTCTATTACATTGTTGCTTATGTTCCAAAGATTACAAAAATAGAGAGATTTTTATGGACCAACAAATATTTCCAAAGTTATCAGGGTTTAAAGATTTGCAATTTTTTTTTGATATCTTTAGATGCGGTGCACCGTAGTAATAATAAATAAATTAGATAAATCGGATAAACGAATAAATGAATAAAACAAACAAACAAACAATTCGAATAAACTAATAAAAAAACAAATAAACGAATAAAACGAATAAATGAATAAAAAACCGCATAAAATGAATAATTCGAATAACCAATAATTCGAATAAACGAATGAGAAGAATAATTCGAATAAACGAATGAAAGAATAATTCGAATAACTGGGTTGTATTAAGGGACTTAATTCAATATAATAAAGATTTTAAACATTTTGTATTGTTCTCATTTGAATTTTTGGAATTTTTTAGTCTCATATTATTGATTATGATTTAAATGTACTAAAATTCAAGCATGTTATACAATTTATTATAGTTTATTATTGTTTTATTTCTATAATAATTATTCAATTATTTTCAGTGGTCCGCAGATTCATGATTTTATAAAAAAATAATATGAATTGGCTCAAGTCAACTTTGAGTCAGCACTTTTTTATATGTTAGCTGGCTCGAATTCGAATATTCCAGTCAAGCTGAATTCGAGCTAAATATAAACTTGGCTCAGCTCGTTTGGAGATTGAAAAATGGTCATATTTTAACAGTCTTTGCTTAATACATAAAATTTGTTTTTATTATAATAAAAATATAATACTCTCTGTATCCATAAACTAGATGCATTATATATTCAAAAATCTCTCTTTTTCATGGATTAGTTGGTTACATTACAAAAGTATGTAATTTCTTTTTAATTTGTCAATCACCTCAAAAAAATATCTTGTGACCTTATTTAATTTTGATTAATTATCCAGACCCATTTGCATATGAAATTCGGGAGCTTGGGCTTTGGGACTTTTAAATCTCTCAATCTCAATGATTTTAATCTATTTGAATTTGGAATTTTGGACTGGGCAATAATTCGAGTAGCAAGTATATTATTATCCAAATATTTCCAAGTATTTTGAATAACAAATTGTTTAGGTAAAATTTTGTATGTCCTCAACTATTTCGACTTGCATTATTAATAATTTTTTAAATGTGTTCTGAAAATTTGATTCACATAATTATAAAAACCAAGATTTGCATTAATACAATTAGTTGCTTAATTTGATGGCCACATACAATAGAATTTTCCCTGGCCCTGTTCAACTACCAATTAAAGGAAATCATGTGATTTATGGTTTGACCCATGCTATGATTGGTCAATTAGATAAAGTCTTCCCAAGTTTGGTAATAAGTTTTCCAAATTTGGTAGTTTTCAATAAACATTGCAATTTTTAATGGTAAATTTTCTACTATAATAATAAGGGATTGACCCAGCTTGCTTGCAGTTATCTGGTTTCAATACTTGTTACCAATAAGACTGAAAAAACATCAACATGATCTTATGTTTATTTATTTTTATTAATAAAAAAATTCTTTACAAACAATATTAGTTATTAGTGTAACAAAAATAACATTGCAGTAAAAAAAAAGTATAAATTTAAAAAAAAAAAAATAGAGTAAATTTTTTTTTAACCACCACAGCCACAAGTTTAATTAAGTTCATCCTTTGAACCAAGGCTATTATTTTTCATTAATTGATATAAACTTTATTTCACTCAATTACTTTTAAAGATGAGTAAAGACGACGAATACGATTATCTTTTTAAAGGTTTGTAAAATAGAATTAAATGTGTTTCTGATGAGGACGACATTGTTCATCTGGAAAATTTTTTTTTTGAAAAAAAATTTATAATGATACAAAAAAACTTGTATAAGGCTTTTATTTTATTTTGAAATTTGAATTCAATAAAGACAACTGGCTTTTTTTTTTTGAGATGAAAAAAAAGGCTCATAAAATAATTTAAAATGGAAATTATTAATTTTTTAAATATCTATTTAATTAGTTGTCTTAATTGGTGACTCTGGTGTTGGTAAATCCAATCTTCTTTCTCGTTTTACACGTAATGAATTCAATTTAGAGTCAAAATCCACTATTGGTGTTGAATTTGCTACTAGAAGTATTCAAGTTGATAATAAAACAATTAAGGCACAAATTTGGGATACAGGTTCTTATCATTTATAATTCATTTATATTGTTAATGTTTAACTTTATTAATTAATTGACGAATTCCATATGTTTTTTAGCTGGCCAAGAACGTTATAGAGCAATTACAAGCGCGTATGTAAAGATTATTATTATTATACAATCAATTTTATTAAAAAAAAACAAATAAATAATAATAATTATTTTTTTCACCCCCAACTCGATAATAATAACAGATATTATCGTGGTGCAGTAGGTGCTTTACTTGTTTATGATATTGCTAAACATGTGACATATGAAAATGTTACTCGTTGGTTAAAAGAATTAAGAGACCATGCTGATAACAATATTGTAATTATGCTTGTTGGAAATAAAAGTGATTTAAGGCATCTTAGAGCAGTTCCAACTGAAGAAGCTAAACAATTTGCTGGTTTGTAATAAATTTAGTTAATTGATGGTTATATGAATGATCATGATGATAATAATAATAATAATAATAATATATATATATATATATAAATTTATTATTACCATTATAAACAGCTGAAAACAATTTATCATTTATTGAAACGTCTGCCTTGGATGCTAGCAATGTAGAACTTGCCTTCCAAAACATTTTAACAGGTAATTTATGATTTAACTAATTCGATTAATTAATTTGATTAAAACAAAAAAATTTTTTTAATTAACTTATTTCCCCTTGTTTTTAAAAATAAAGAAATATACCGTATTGTATCCAATAAAGCTTTGGAAAACAACAACGGTGATATTGCTAGACCAACTGCCGGTGAAACTATTCAAGTCACCTCAATGCCTGATGATGCTAGTAAAACAACTGGCAAATGTTGTTAAACAATAGATAATAAATGAATAAATAAATTGATGAATTAACGAATACATTAAAATATTTAAGCTAATAATAATTATATTATTATATAATTAATCTTTATCATATATTCCATTTATTCATTCTCGATTTATTTTTATTGTAATGATATATTTATTATTAATTTATTTTTGAAAATAATAGTAGAAAAATTTATTTATTTATTATTCCAATGAAAATAAGAAAGTATAATAAGATTTATTATTTAAGATCCCTTTTGTTATTATACATTATATAGATATAATAAATAATAAATAAATAAAAACTTTAAGCAACTTAATTGATTGGATTTCTTTATTAACAGATAAAATAATATTATACTTAGCAGTCGAGATAACTTTTGCATAGAGTTATATTTAGACAATTATGATGAAATAATAATATGAGTCTTGTAAGAAAATAACATTGCCCTAGTAAAGATCTCACTGACTATAAGTTATCATCATTATTATAAAAACATTTATTTTCATATAGTGTCATATAATGAATTATTATTGCCAAAAAAGGAGGAATTTGTATATAAAATTTATACTGAGGTATTTGATAATGTTTTGTTAATTCTGGTAAAGAAATTTTTTTTCACAAGTCAAAAAAAAACAAAGGGCTTTCTGGAAATGAAAAAGAATTTGTAGATAATGCAAAAAATAAAAAGAGAAAACCAAAGGAATGTAACCAATGTAAATCAACAAGATACTGATAGATTCTGTGAAGGTTGCATTAGGTTACAATTACAGAGTCTTTTCACTACTTGGATATCTGGAAATAACGTAATTGATGATTTTATTCAACAATGTCAAATGATACCTTTTGAGTAATTTGATGATATAACAAAGTTAGCTGAAGGTGGGATTTAGTTCAATTTATATTGTTACATGGACAAGATAAAGAATAATTGATTATGATGAAAATACAAAGGAACTTAGTTATAATGGAAGGAAAGATGTAGTGTTAAAAAGTTTAAATGATTCAAGTGATCCAGAAAAACCATTTTTCGATGAGGTTTAGTTGTCATTTAAAACAATACTGTATTATATAATGCTAATTGATGTTATATTATTTTCAGGCAGTGAATTATTCTAAAATTAAAACATCACTGATTGTTCAGTGCTATGGTTAAATTATTTACCAGATGGAAATTTAAGGGATTGTTTACAAAAAAATTATTTAAATCTAACATTGAAAGATAGGACTACAATTATGTGCTGCAATATTGAATACATGAAAAAGATTTAATCCAGTATTAAAAAGATTAATTACAAATTATGACTCTGCTATATTAGAACCATAGTAGCATCACTATGAACGAACACTCGATTTTTTAACCCACATAAAATCTCGTAATGATTCTGTTTATTTACATATCTTTATAATTAACACAATATCAAACATTATTATCAATTAATTCTTTATAATAATCATTAGAGATATATTTTGTTATTATTACATTATGTTATTACGCGCTATTTATCTTATAAAATTAGACTAGCCAAAAAGGCAAGGAACATCCTTCAGGATGCATTGTTTATAATTTTCAAATAAGTAAGAGTTATTACACTCAGAACCAAATAAGTTATTTTGTCAACTCAGAAATTCCAAGAGATCATAATATATTATAAAGGAAATTTATTTACTCCAATGTTGCTTTTAAAGTGCTTGATTTATTAATAAAATTAATTCTTTTTTCGCTTGTGCTTTGTTGATACCTAAAAAGGCAAATGATCTTTGTACACGTGATCAAAATGTCTTACCTGGGGGTAGAGTAAGCGGCTACTATTAAAATGATATTAGCTCATATATGTCAGCGCCCTAAGTGATCTTGATTTTAACTCTATTCTCTAAATGTTGATTTTAACAAAGGCGAATTAAAATTTTCATTAATTAAAGTTTATTAATTACTAATAAGATTATTTATGATTTATTTATAAAAAGGATTGATGATTGTTCTTTTATTGATACCAAAGTGAATTTTGCATTTATATCAAATAAACTATCTAACTGTTAAAAAAAAGTTAGAAATACGAACCATGAAAGAGTATGTTATTTGTAATATATAACATTACAAGATGGGTTCAATTCTCCGTTATCGAAATAATGTAAATGAATAAATTGTTTTTTTTTTGTTATTCTCAAAAAAGTTGATTCTTCACTAGAATAAATTAATAAATCCAAACTACAATTTAATAATTTATAAAAAAAAATTTTATATAATGTCATTTGAAAGCTTATTATCACCAGGGAGAAGGGATTTATAACCCATGAAGTAGGTGATAAGTATCATATAACATTGATAATGAAGTGAACGATAATGTTTTGGTTAATTCTGATAAAAGATTGTTGTCAAAAAATAAGGAATTTTCGTAGCTCATAAAGAGATATAATTAGTTTATAAAATTTAAATATGAGTAAAAATAATAAAAGAAAAAAAGAAAGAAGAATAGCCGTCCATCTGAAACTTTAGAAAACATTGCTATAAAATTTGAAGTATCAAAATCACTAGTCAAAAAGCACCATCTAAAATGAAAATCTAGTTATTTTAAAACCTAACCATTTCTCGTTAATTTGACACCATTAAATTTATAATAGGGAGATTTTTCGTTACAGTGTGTTCACTGTAATTATATTGGTGTTAAATTAATTTCTTTTTTCGATTTTTGACTTTGAAATAACTATGCATAATCACGTTCGTGCTTCTTGTTGTTTATTGTGAATCGTATTTTTTGTTGTTTGTTGTAAATCGTATTTTCTTTCTATTTGTTGTATAAATTTGTTGCAATCGTATTTCTTGGTAATTGCTATTGAGCAAAGAAAAAATGATAGATCAATGAAAAATTCACATAATTAACAAAATCTCAATTCACTATTAATTTACTGGGCTGATAAATGATGTACAATAATAAAAAATTGTTCTCTTAATTAATTTCATTACTTGGAGCGACAAAAAGAAAAATCTAAGTTCTGAAAAGGAAATTTCGTTCTTCCGAATGATAATGATGATAATGATGCATCATTCATTATTACACACTAGAAAAGGCCAAGTAAGTCGAGATCTTGGAGAACGCAGAGTAAAATTTATTGAAAAAAAATTCTTGACTGGCTGACCATTTAACGGTTAAAAAATTCTAAACGGTGATGTAACTGAAATTCGTGAGCCACCTACTCACCCTGAAGATAGCTTTGTAAGTTCTTCATTTACAAAAGGCGAACTGAAAGAAATCCCTATGATGCACAAAATGAAGAAGCAAGTGAAGAGATAGATGAGTTCTTAGTGTACATAAATGTATTTGCCAAGGCTAAGTGTTGTCGTTTTTGTACTTATCAACTTAATAATAATAATTTTTTTCGGTAAAATCTAAATAATTCTATTAACAGCATTGAGGAGGCACTCGATACTAGGCTAGGGAAAATTATGAATTCATTTCAAACACGAGTCTTTTCCTGGAAGATTCATGATTGGCGTCAAATGGACAAATTTTTTATCATAATTAACCAACTTTTCAATTACATTACAATATTCTCTAGAGTTCGAATATTAGAAACGAAACCAATTCTTTTGTGCCAAGATATGCCAAGAGTTGGTATAGAATTGATATTGGGTGTATTGTCGATATGGAGTTTGCGGATATTTTCATTAGATAAGTAGAGGCGATGCTTAGGCCTAATATTTACAGTTTTCCTTTATCTGAAATGAGAGTGTAGAATAGAAAAGGCTGCATCGCATCTTTTGAGAGAAAGAATGGAACAAGAGCATTAAGTTACTTGACAAATCTTCCAGCCTTATACCAAGAGTTCATGGCAATATAAAAGAATATCACAATGAAAAATGCTGCCGAGATTTCAAAGAATTTTTCTTGATAATTACGCTGAAGTACATGGATCACCAAATTCAGAGAGAAATGTAAATTAGCTGTGTCTGTCCATCAAGATTTTCTTATGGGCCTTAAAATATGATGCTCTTTCAAATTATGAGTCCAAGAATGTATTCAATACAAAGTTCATAAAGAAGAGGCTAAAAATTTATTAAAGAAATATAAAGAATAACTGGCCTATTAGATTTGATCATTGTTATTAGGAAAGTATAAATAAATTTTATGATCCTAGGCACGCATGATATACTAAATTCAAAAATCATATGGTTTTGGACTGATCAAAAAAATCAAATCGAAAAGCAAATGTCGTTATTTTGCATTATTACATGTCAATTTACATTTAATTTTTCACCTTAAAATTTTTCTATTATTATAGTGTGTATATACAAGCAATATATATTAATTATATACATGTATATACATGTTTGTATGTATGTGAGTATAAGCAATATATCTCATATATCATGCCTGATATATGTAGAATAAAAAAAATGGTTAAGAAATACAGAATAAATTAAAAATAAAAGTAAGCAATATATTATTGTCAGTGATATTATGTCATTGTTATTAAGCAATTAAATTAATCAATTAAAATAATTAATAATCCAATTTTTTTTTACACAAAGGACATTCATCTCTCAACTTAATCGCAGCTAAATAATAATAATAGTATGTATATATATAAAATAATTCCTTTTAAAAAGTTTTTTTAATTTCAAAAATATAAAAGTATAATTTACCTGCTACACACGATCTGTGAAAATAATGTCCACGACAAGGAGGAAGTTTGACTACATGTTGATCAGCAGTAATTGTATTTGGATCTTGAAAACCATCTAAACATATAATACAACTATCTTCTGATGTAACTGTATCATACTCAACGGGTTGTAAAATAGAATTATCGTCTACATACAATTTGTTAATGTTTTATTAATAATTTTTAATATATAATTAGAATTATATTGTAAATATATATTACCACTTGCAACTCTTCTAACCCTTCTTGTTCCTCCACCAACAATATTATACTGTACAAATCTTCCAGTAGAATAATTAAACCTGATTTCATAAGTGTCACGTATTGATGAAAAATATCCTTTTCTTGGTGTCATAACTGTTTTTTTATTTTGGTAAGCTTCTTCTAATTCCGCTGCACATGCCAAATCGTATGGAAGCCATTGATCTGCGTTAGCCCTCCATTCCCACTTTTTAAATAATAATATATATACATATATATATATTAATAAAAATTTAAATATAGCAATAATTTACAATTGTTATTGTAATTATGATTAAAATTAATTTCTAGATAGTTAACCTGAACTGGTAAATCTTTAGCATTTGTTCTGGTAAGAAAGCACATTGAACAGGTTAAATCAATTCCCTTCAAAAAAATTATAGGTATTCTTGTTATTATATTATGGATATTAATAAAACTAGAAAATAATGAAAGTAAACTCACTCGGTTAATAAAGGTACATCTTTCGCAAGGCCATTGAGGATTATTAGTTACCGACATTTTTTTTATTATGTTCAATTTGAAAAAAAATTTATTCATTCTGTGGGAAAAAAAATACCCTCTTAAAAATACACTACTACAGCAATTTTATTGGCTAAATTTTGTGCGCACAAATAATCTCGAGATAGTAATAATAATAGTAGAGTTAATACGAACGGACTAACCTTCCGGTCATTATCGATCAATTCCTTTTATATCTGAAAACGTCATCGGATGACGCGTCATTTGTAAAAAGTCATGTTATCTGTAAGTGTAAATTTCCCTTAATAAGCTCCACATGAGCCAAGCTAGCTCTTGGCTCACCCAAAAAATTACTGGCTTGAGAGCCAAGCTTATAAATAGCTTGCTCGGCTCATGTGTTGGCTTGGTTCAAGCTAAAGACACCTGCTTTAATTGGTTATTTGCAGCAATGATAACTACCATATCTATTTACAAAAAATGATAGTTACCAACAGCTATTTACAGCATTTGTCTTTATTTCAAGCCAAACTTGCTTGGCTCATTTCAAGCTGAGTTAGCTTGGCTTGTTTTGTAGCTCGATAATTTCAATTGATAATCACTTTTCTATTTGTGGTAGAAAAAAACTTGCCTACTTCTTTTAGTACTAGTTATTACAAATTTATCTCTCTACTATTGACACTTTTAACACTTTTAACACCATACTATTTTTATGAAAATGAATATTAAGAATAAGGATAATTTATATGTTAATGGTGTGAATATGATAGTGGATATGAATATGAATATAAATATAAATATTAATATGATGAATATAATGGCAACAGAAACTATAATGATGATGATGAGAGGGGTGAAAATTAAAATGAAAATGGTAATGGAAACAAAAATGATAATGGAAATGAAAATTAAAATGGTAATGATAATAATACTTCCTCTTCCTCTGCTAAAAATGACTCTCTTGTTTACAATTACTTTATTTTGGAACCATCTGATGATCAGTGGTATTGTCTTAATCACAGGTAATGGTAATATTAATACTTGTTATACTTAAAATATGATACGGTATATTATATTTATATTTTCAAAAAAAAACAATAGCTAGGTTTTGCTGATAAAGCAACAACAACATTTTGGTGACATATCCAAAAAACATCATCAAGAAAAATTAATAAAAGTGGATCTATAGACAAATATTTCAGAAAAAGAGAAAATAATTATATACATACATACATGCAATAAATAATTTAATAATGAATTTTTAAATTAATAAATGTGGACATAAAGTCTCACCTAAGCATTAGGAAAAATATATTTCATTGATGCATTTGTTGAACATAAATTGGAAAAGGTCTATTTATCCTCATACTCTCAAGCTCTTTTAGATTCACATAAAACGCATTTGGAAAACGAAGCATTGAACTTTTTAAAAGGATGCCAGGAACATTATCAGCAATCTGGAGCAAGGATTGCACGAAATCATGAAATTGTCAAACATGAAGACTCGGCAATATTCCAATCAATGGCATTAAAACCTTTAAAACTTGATATTAAAGAATTTTTTAAACAAATTGAAGAAATAGAGAAAAATTGGTCCAACATTGTTACTTGGTTGGAATGATGAATTATACCGATGCAGGAAAAATCCTTTTTCCTGCACTAAGTTCTATGGATGAGGATCTATCCAAAATATTGCCAAATTCAACAAATGTGCAAGAATCTATGCATTCTCGATATTACATGTGTGGAACTGCCAATCAGTCAATTATCACAGGTATTTATTTTATAAAAAATAATTGATTAACTTAATTGACTAATTGATTATTTATTAACCTTGAACTTATTTCATTTAGGTCTTGAGAACCTTCTTTTGTTTGTAATAGCTTTGGAAGTTGATTATGAAAACAAAAGTAAAGGGCATTCCTTGAAGTATGGTCATGATGAACCATGGAAAAAAGTTGCAGAATTATATGGAACAACCACATCATCCAGAGGAAAGAAATCCAAAGGTGCTGGTGTAAATGATCGTAGACCACCAGATACTGCTAAAGCCATTTTAAAAAATAAATCATCTAATGATAATAAAAATTTAGATGTTAACAATCATAAAAAGAAAAACAAAAAGTAATTGAACTTCCCAATCATATCCACATTGGCGAAACTCATGTTATATTATATCATGCTTGGAATTACTGTATGTGAACTACCTTCATGCAATTCCATGATGGTCAACCAATGTCGGAACAATTACACATGACTCTGGATTAAAAAAATATTATTATCGTTCGCGTTTACTTTGTCGAAAATTATTTCGTCTACAATCATTTCGTCGACACCCATTTCGTCGAAAGTTTGTTTCATCAAAAGTTCATTTCATCGCAAGTTCATTTCGTCGAAAATTATTTCATCCTCGAGCCAGAAACCGAACGAGTTAGATGTGAGGAGTGTGAGAAGTTAGTTAAGAAATTAGGCGAGGAAAGCGGGGTGTGTGGGAAGTGTGAGGAGAAATTTGTTTAATGAAGTTTTTTTTTTGTGACGAAATGAACTTTCGACAAATGAATCAGACCCATTTCTTTGCCATATACCTTGATATTTGAAATAACCCAAAGAGATGGTGCTAATTATCACTCGTCAGAACAATTAGTTTTCCCTTTTCAGTTTTGTTATCAAGAAAATGAGAATATACATTGACAGCATGTGTATACAGTAGAGATGTGCCATGCACAGTGCGTGAGAATTTTTGAGTGCACAGTGCGCGCATAGTTCTCATGTTGTACTACATAGCATGCACGTACAAGTTTCTCCGTATTAATACATTTGCAATAATTGCCAATTCAGACAAATTGTTAGGACGAAGCATTTTTAGTTAAGTTTTTGTAGGCATTAATTAATAAATATTTCTATATAGTTAAAGAATATATATATAAATATGCTATTTGATTTTTTTAAAGACCAACATTATTGCGCATTCATGACAATTCTCTGTGTACTATTACTATTACTATCTCTTAAATGGTCAAAGTATTCTTTGCATTCTTATTGGCCAATTTAACGATCTGCAAAGTAAAAATAGTCAATCGGCCAACTTTTAAGGAAGAATTTACGAAAACCACAAGGACAACAACCGAATTTTTATTCACATATCAAACAGTTGAATCTCAAAGATCATTTTCGTATTAGGGAGTGATACCTTCAGAAAAAAATTTCGGCTATCAATAGCCGAAAAACTGTTTAAGGGATAATACTAATACACTATATGCATTATGTGCACTATGCACACTGTACGCACAGTGCGCGAAAAAAAATCAGGGTTACTATGAATGGCACATCTCTAGTATATAGCACATCATCAATTGGACAGCATTTCTACAGTGAAGTAATTCAAAGCTTTGACAATCAAAGTGGTATCCAATGATTCAACCACTCTATCAGGATACAAGCCACAGACTGTATTAGTTGCTTATAAATTAAATGATTTTAATAGGCATTCCATCTATTCTGATAGCCGAACAAGTTAGTATTGTTTAAATAGCTTTTAAATTTTTTAAAAAAATTAATTACTTCCATTGAATTATCCACAGGAACTTTTATTGAAAAATTAAATAATCATAATATAAACATTCTTGATGAAAAGATTCTTTCAGGATAGACTGTAAGCAGATTTTTATAAAAAAAGCTGGTTGTTTCATCATCAATTGATTAATAATGTTGTATTTTTTCTAGTAATTGCATATTTCACTGATAAAATCCATCAGTATTTTAACGGAGGTAAAAATGAAGATAAAGAGGAACCCGAAGTTGAAAAAAATAAAATGTAATTATTAATGACTCACTGTAATAGTAATAATGCATTCATTTATTAATATTATTAACAAAATTTCCATATTTTCTTTAGACCCAGGACTATCAAAGCTAACACTGCTGTAGTTCGTCGTAGTAGTAGAATTAGAAATACAAAAAAATAATTATTTTTTCGTTTTTATTACTGTATTATCAAAAATAAATAAATAAAAATTTAAAATTAATAACACAAGCAAATACATATGATATAATAAATTCAATGCTTCAATATGCAGTAAATCAATTTAACCAAAAAGCTAAGGATATATGTAGTCGATCCCTGTACCCTGTCCTTTTCTAACGTCCCGATTTTAGAGCGTCAGGTGGATGGCTAAATAATTTTAAAAAAGCCATAATTTTTCTCAATATAGTAGAAAATTGAAATTTCAACAAAGCAAATTTCTAGCATTCGTTCTGTTAGAAGTAACATTTTATTATATAAAAGTTCACTAGCGCGTCAACGTAATATAGGTGAATATGTAAACTTTGATGTATAACTTTTTTAAACCGAATTTTTTTTAAAAAATATATTAACTTCGTCTTATCAAAGATTACTTGATAAAACGAATATTTGATAAAACGATGTTTTGAGCCCAAAACAAGTACATCGGTTTAACGAGTTCCAACTGTATTCTGCGGTGCATTATTATTATTATTATTATTATAGTATTTTCCGTTTTTTAAACACATATTCCGTAATTTATGCGGCATTCTGCGCTATTACTATGCAGATAATCATTGCCCTGAATGTCGAATTTCGTATTCAATCAACAGAATGGTCACATAAATTACAAAATAAAATTCCATCATCAATGCGACATTCACCACGAATTTCTTTTACTCTATTATTGATTGTAACTGTTCTTGTACTTCCTCTATTCATTATAAAAAATTTTGATCATCATGTTACACTTATTAAATTCCCTTTTTTTATATTATCATTATCTGCAATACTATTTATTATTATTATATAGTACTTTCCGTTTCAAATGCACATTCCGTGATTTCTGCACTATGCAAAAAATCATTTGAAGTGAAAAACAACAAAACAACACCAGTTTTGGTAGCCCTTTCGACATGTTTAATTATTACAACTATAAATAAATAATTATTTGTGTAAGTATAAATTTCTTTCTTTTCTTTGTATAAGTAGGTATACGATCACTAATTAAAATTCACAGAGACTTTTTAAATTGGTTTAAAAAGGTTAGTATTAGTATCATGTGTAACTATTAGATAGATTATTGCCGCAGCTGGGTCAAATCAGGACCCCGGAAACTACATAGATAGGTTACATTATTTTTGGGTAAATCAATCGAAAGGTCAGAGAAAATTTTGGGTAAATTAATATATATGGTTTAAAATGTCATGACTTTTGTAGGGTAAAGAAAAAAATAGTTATGCTAGAAAATGGGTAAAATTAAATATAAATATTTAGAATATTTTTATGTCGGTTCCATTTTGGGTAAATTATTTAGAGGATAAATTTTAAAATTACACAAATTTTTTGTAAATCAAGATCCTAAAAATATTTCATGTGATTCAGAAAATGTTAGTGAATTAATTGAAATTCCTGAGAATGAAAACTGTACTATATTATTGTTTGAAGATGAAAGCAAAGTGAGAATGAAGATGAGAATGAATGTAGAGACAGTAATAAATCAAGGTTAATGTTAATTCCCAAATAAATATTGTAGCTGAAACAAATG